AAGAATATAACATCACTTTAAACTGTATCATGTAGTACAAACAGAATCCCATTATGACATTAAGTATATACCATTGTGTCAAACTGTATTATGTAGTTTAAACAGAATCCCATTATGACATTAAGTATATACCATCACGTTAAACTGTATCATGTAGCATAAGCACAATCCCATTAAGAATATAACATCACTTTAAACTGTATTATGTAGTTTAAACAGAATCCCATTATGACATTAAGTATATACCATCACGTTAAACTGTATCATGTAGCATAAGCACAATCCCATTAAGAATATAACATCACTTTAAACTGTATCATGTAGTACAAACAGAATCCCATTATGACATTAAGTATATACCATTCATAAGCACAATCCCATTAAGAATATAACATCACTTTAAACTGTATTATGTAGTTTAAACAGAATCCCATTATGACATTAAGTATATACCATCGTGTCAAACTGTATCATGTAGTACAAACAGAATTCCATTATGACGTTAAGTATATACCATCGTGTTAAACTGTATTATGTAGTTTAAACAGAATCCCATTATGACATTAAGTATATACTATCATTTTAAACCACATATCGTAGTATATACAACTGAATTTGTATTATAATGAGAAGAACAATGAGGTAGTAAATATAACCTCACAGTATTTAAACAAAGTCAGAGTGGGCAATCTCATACATTAATTATACTTTCACGTAAATGTAGTTTAATATTAAATTATATTACTTACTGTAGTGTGGCTTCCATTTTAAATCTCTTAGTTGTTATGAAATTTGAAAAGATATCTGAGACACTCTGTTTTTTAAAATGCATGATAAATGTCCCTTAAAGCAACATTTCACAAAGTGTGAGGCATGCTCCCTTGGGGGGGTTTAAATGACCTCTTGGTGGAGCACAAGGGATTTGAACAGAGTCAATAGTGCAATAATACAAAATTAAGCATTTTAACATATTTTTTATTTATGAAAATAATAAGTCATTACTACAACATATACAGTATTTTAATGTGTATATATACGCATATTACATCTTGTCACTTAACCTCACTCATTTAAAAAAGGAGGGTACAAGAGATTATATTTATTAAAGGGGTGCATATATGGGAAAAGTTTGAGAAATGCTGTCATACAAGAATATATTTAAACGAAAGTAGCAAATCTCATAGTTTTTATATTGTTAAATAATGCAAGAAATAGAAAAGGGTTTATGAAAAAAGGTTGGCTGAAAATGTAAAAATTAATTGTACAGATTTTTTTAAATAAATTAAAGGTAAGCAAAATGTTAGGATGAGAGCAGAGTCTTTGAGGGAAGGCTAGTATCTCTTGATTACGAGATTTAAGCAATATTTCTCTTCCTGAACATAGAAGAAAGGTTGAACAAGATGATCACCTTAATTCTGAGCTGGTTATGAAAAATGTGTGAAGCTTAAAGAACGATACTGAAGAGATAAAGTAACCTTGCTTTTTTTTTGGCTCAAGTCTGACTTGTATGATATATTTTTCATTTCATTTATCACTATACTACTTGGTCTTATATTTTTAAGTGTTCTAACTAATTATTTGAAATAAGAAGAGAGGTAAAAATCAACTATACAAATGGCCCAGCCACTGTTGTTATTCATTTCTATTGGATGCAGCCACTGTTGTTATTCATTTCTATTGGATGCAGCCACTGTTGTTATTCATTTCTATCGGACCCAGACACTGTTGTTATTCATTTCTATCGGACCCAGACACTGTTGTTATTCATTTCTATCAAACCCAGACACTGTTGTTATTCATTTCTATCAAACCCAGCCAATGTTGTTATTCATTTCTATTGGACCCAGCCACTGTTGTTATTCATTTCTATTGGACCCAGCCACTGTTGTTATTCATTTCTATTGGACCCAGCCAATGTTGTTATTCATTCCTATGAAACTTTCTGTGGTAAATGTGTCTTTGTAATAAAAACATTCCATTTTATATAACGAAAATAGTAAATTATTACTCACACCTTTGTTTTTAGCTGATTATTTAGGAGTTACTACTAGATAAACGTTTTTTACAAGCTTTTAATAAAAAACTTACAGTTCTTCTGAATTAATCAATCAACACCATCAGTCTTCATTCTTTGGTCTCCTGCATAATAAAGTTTCACATAAATGTTGTAATTGCTCTCTATATTTTAATAATTCTAAATGAATGCACAGTAGCCTTTTGCATTTTTGAAACATTAATTCAACCCAACAAATTACTAAAAATAATAACCATTAATTTATCAATAGGGAACTTGTAATCTAAGCAAGAACACAATGACAAATATAAGAACTAGGAAATGATTTATGAAATTTAAAGTTATTCAAGATGTTACTTACTTTTTTCCTGAAATGAAAATCAATTTCCAATACAATCATAAAAGGTGGCTAACTTGTAATATATGATTTTTGTTTGGTTTTTTTCCTTTAGTAATTAGGCATACTGAAGGTGTATCTTAACTTTTATGCCGGACTATACACAGTCATTTATGAACTATTCTTACTCGTACTAGCTTATACTGTTGACATAGCATGTTTATAATTTGTTGTGATGATGTAGTATGAAATATCGGTTATTAATTAATATTGTATTAACTTTTAATATTTGTATTACAGCGCTAAAATTATAATACCTTTAAATAGGAAACAATTGATAGTTTCGTGAGAGTTTATCATCATTTGCCACTACGTCAGTACTCTGCTGATTACACGTACCGGTACCATTGTCTAAGACAAATGTCTTGTATTAATTTTACGTTGTCTTCTAAACGTACCTACAACAGAATTATCTGAAATTCGACTGTAATTTATTAAGGTAGACCTGAAAGATTTAATATTAAACAAATGAAATAAAATTAGGGAAGTCTTTCTCTTTGGCACTTTTTTGGATGTGTTGCACAAAACACAATAAGTTTTGTCATTCACTGTTTCATAAATCGTAACATTGGTTTATAACATACCCTAATACAAGCGTAAAATTAATAGTTTTCAGAATTGCTAATCACAAAGCCGTACTCGCGCGTACATATAAATATCTTAAGAGTATAAACCTATGTTGTCGTGATGTGCACGCGAATGAAAAACAGTCTACAAATCGGTACATATATTTTTTCAGGTCTGCAATATTTTTAATAAATTGTCCACGAAAGAAGTTATTCGTGTTATGAATAGTATAGTACATTATTACTACATACACATCTTAAATCTTGTTTTTAGCTTGTCTATTGATACTTACATAACTTCATTAATCATTATTTCATTCTATTCTATGAAATTAAATTACTGTAAATTCAATTTTCGTAAAATGAATTCTGTTTAAACTTATTTTGTAAACACATACTAGGTGAAAAGCATTTTGACGACGACCATGTTTTCATATTTCTATAAAATTTCATTATATAAAAATTCGGAACAAAAAATATTATCCCTTAAATATTCTAGATCTCCATACATTTTATAACAACTTTATTTACCAAAGAAAGGTGAATAAAAAAAAAAAAGAGTAGTCATAAATTATCATATAATTTTACATACCATCCCTTGATATCCCACAATGGCGTTTGATTTTATTGCCCTCTCGTGTACGCAATAGTAACTAATTATAAATATTTTGTTTATATAGGTACCCAAATAAGAAATTTAAAGATCGTTTAAAAGTAAAGAAACTTCACGGATGTAAATATATCGTTCAATGACTTAGGTTAAATACATGTCTGTACATAAAATTATTCATGTACCAATACTGAACCCAATGAAAATTCCATAACATATTTCAACTGTACATATTATGCTGAAATGTACACTTCTAAAACTTTGACAACCAGGGTTAAAAGATCGAATATGAGGCTAAATTATCCCGTGGGTAAGAAGAGTAAACACTTAACAAAACTGAAAATTTGAAACCAATTTCAAAAATAATAAAAAATGTATATATAAACATTTTTCCTCGATTGATTTTCTCGTAACGAATGATAAGTTCACTAATAAAAGTCGTGAATATATTTTTCTTTCCCGGTGGCTCAGCGGCAAGTCTGAAGGCTTATAATACGAAAAACAGAGTTCCGATATCCGTGATGAACATAGCACAGATATTTCATTGTGTAGCCTTATGCTTACTAATAAACAAACAACAAACAAAATTAGAGTCTCCGAAGGGCACCTTATAAAGTAAATATATTGCGTGAGAGAGAAAGAGAACAAAGAAGCCGAAATAATTAGAAACTTCAAAAGAAACAGGTTTAAATTCAATGTTGTAACATTTTTCTGTAAAAAAATTTCTTTTTTTTGTTTGTCTGTTTGTTTGTTTTTATAATAAAATTTGTATCAATATGCTAAGGTTAAGGCTTACCAAAAACCGAGCCTTGTAGAAAATAAAACCAGATAAGATATTCCCCCCCCCCCCAGTGGGAAAACGGTAAACTTTTTACGTAATTACAACTCTAGAATCCAGGGTTCGATGAACAAAGCAGATAGCCCAATATGGCTTTGCTTCAAAACAAACAGGTAAAATATAAATTAAAAAATACACATCGTGCTCTAAAAAAAGAAATATATATAAATAATAAATATTAAATATTTTCTCAAACTTCATCCACAATTGCAAATATATATATATTAGTTATCACTTTAGTAAATGCTTAGTTTCGAGCTATGCTTTTTTTAGGTAATACCTCTAACTTCAATGGATCGTTCCAGTGTTCCTAATATAGAGCATTGCAAGGGATATATATGACTTATGGCCACGTGACAACAATACATAATGTTACGACAGCGGAAGTCACGTGCCTCTGGTAACACGTCATGAGTTTCTGGAAGGATCATGACTGCTCCTGGCAACTCTAGTGTTTGCCAGACGCCCTCTATTTTTGTATATAAGCCCGGCAAATAAAGCGGAGAGGAAGAGTGACGGCATAAATAATAGCAGATTGAAAAGAGATATAGAGACAGATAATTGAGTCAAGTGAGCGGTAGTGACCATAAGTAACGTGCGTGAGTCGTAGTAAATTATAGCATGTGTTTAACTTAAAGTGACTATGGAAATTCTGTGTATTGCAAAGTTGTATTGAGAAAGAATTAGCTAGTTTTATTTAAGAAAGGACTTGTATCGCTGAAGTTCCTCGGGAAAAATTTTTACCGGAAATTAACAAACAAGCAGATACGCAACAGTATATAACTGTACAGCGCTCGATAATAATGTTACGTCTCCGTTCGTTAATTAACTTTCCGTAACTTCGTTCCGACGAAACTTTAGCGACACAAGTCCTTACTTAATAAAACTGGTTTATTCTTTCCTAATACAACTTTACGATACACTTATTTTCAACAGTCGCTCTATAACAAACACTATATCAACGAACGTCAACAATACTTCTGACTGCAGTTCAATTACTCACTATCTACACACGCATTATTTTCCCGTCACGTTGTCACCCTCTTTTATATACCAGACTACCCTATATCTAGTAAATGCTAGAGCATTCGCCAAGGTACAAGACAGTTCTAGAAAGCAGAGGGCGTGAGAATAGTCACGTGATCTCGCTGACGCAACAATAAGTTAAATAATAATAAAAAGTACAGTAGAGTAGAGTTTTGTAACAATGGGGAAAAAAGGTCAATGAATTGAAAGGGACAGAATTATAGACGGTTCATTCCAATTATACAAAAAAATTGTTCTAAAAGTATACTAAATGGTGAGAACGAAATAACCCAACAATAATTTGAGAGAAGTGTGTTTGTTTGTCCTCTAACTCCACCTGGAGTTTTGCATCTGAACCTGTCAAATATGGTTTAATCAACTAAGACTGATTCGGGATGTGTCAAGAGGTTGTTTTTTTTTTTTTTAATACATAGATTTCATAGCTCCAGTGCTGG